TTCCTTTCGACCGAAGTAAACTTGGCTATATCGAGTCACAGAAGGCCGAACTATCCTTAGCTCGGTCTTCTCCTCCAACTCTTTACTTCGGCTGCCCTGTTCAACCTTGATGCGCTTAGATCAGACTTCCAAGTAACAAGTTCTGACCGACCTAACCATTGTAAGTCACGACCGGACTAACTCTGAGATCGGCCTAACTGTGAGTTGCCTCCAGACCGGAGTAGTTTTACATCCATGAGCCGAAGTAACATTTACTTCTCCCAGCCGGAGTAACATTGCTCTCTGGGCCGGAGTATCCTTTACGGCCTTCTTACTTAGTCCTTCGCGTTTTGGGCCTCAAAGCCCAACTTGCAGCTCGGCCCAATTTTTCCCAAAAATTACCCTCTCAAACACATATGAATTCCTTAAAAAGTTCCAACACATATGATTATTATCCCTCATAATAACATTTTAACGCATTAAGAACAAGCATAAAAAAAATTGCTTAAAAAGTCCAACACATATGATTATTATCAAAATATTAAAGTTTAATATAATATAAAAAAAGGAAAAAAAATAAGACATTTAAAAAAAAAAATTAAAAATCGCAATTCATATATATAGATAATTGTAAATATATTAAGAAAAAGGGGGTTTCTAAACCCCAAGTCTTGTGGGAGCTCTAATTTCTCAATCTTAATTTTCTAAATGAGTAATGCTAGAGACCCCAAATATTCTACCAAAAGTTTTACCAAATGTCTCACATGGGTGTGGGACCCACATGGGACCCACATTGTGTGGGACCCACATTGTGTGGGTCCCACACCCATGTGAGACATTTGGTAAAACTTTTGGTAGAATATTTGGGGTCTCTAGCATTACTCTTGAAATTATTAATAAAACAAAAACTCTTTCTGTCTCTGTATATGCACTAGGGCTGAACTGTCATGATCCTAGTGATTCTATCTTGAATTTGTTAAGATATATATAGTAGACTACTATACTGTTCTTTTAAAAATTTACATGTTCATCAATGTTAGAGGCGAACTCTAGGGCGGGACATATACTCAAATGTCTTGGATTCAACACTTACTAGTATTTTCTTAGGTGATTGTAAGTATGAAAAATTAGTGTGTCACGTATTGATAAAAGGGCAAAATCCACTTTATCCTTTTTAGATTGTATCATTTGCACTTTACCTCCCTGCAGTTCAATAATATGTAGAGAGCCCTCTTATGTTTTGACTGTTATGCATTTTGTTTCATTCCGTAGAAAATTATCCAAACTGACAAAAAAATGATTAATGTGTGCCTTACAATATAATCAAAAGTCAAATTTCAAAACAAAATAACAAAAGTGCCCTTTCTTCATCTTTTCCATTGAAGACACTAATTAAAATAATTGTATACATTATTATTATAAACATAATTATATATATAAAAATAACGCCTAAATAATACACATAAATTAAACAAATTCATGGATTATCTAGTTTAAGAGTTGTGACGGGGATTGTGGGTCCCATAGTGGGGCTCACTAATGTTAGCAATATGGGGCCAACAAACCATTCAGGTTCGTTTGGAATGTGGGTTAGTATTTTGACAAAATTAAAAAAAAAAAAGAAGCTCAACTGTAGTTAAAAATCTATTTAATTATGCAGATTATTATGCATATATCTATTTAGTAATTATTATATTTTAGTTAATTATACAAATCATTATAATAATTAAATTAAAAATTAGTTTCATTTTTTATTTAAATTTAAGCTTTTTTGAAATAATATTGTATTATATAATGACATTTAATTTTGCTTTATTCCATACTTTCTACATTAAATATAAGTTGTATTTAACTATTTTTTGCATTACTCAAAATTAAAAATAAATTTTTTTTTTACAAATGTATTAAGTCGTACCTACACCCTATTTTTTTTTAGATGTTACCATATTGACATACCCATACCCATTCCCGTGCTTCATAGGTTGGAACCCAATTGCCGCTCAAAAGTCTTAGCTGTCTTTATTGATTGTACTTGGGAATGAGTTTTGGCTTGTTTAGAGTCGATTAACCCATCCCATAGTGAGATTTCTTCACTGTTTTTTTTCTTTTTTTTTTGGGTACATAAATTAATATGAGCTTTATCCGGTTCTAACAATGGTTGAAACCTTAGGAGTTTTTATACAATACTATAGCTTCTTTCCACAGTTAAATTATATGAACTTTTAAGTTGTACTGATACATGTTTGTCTGGTTGTACAAGGTAGGCAGGACTCAGCCCATTTTCCAGGGCAGTTAAGGATAAAATTGGCTAGTTTGCATGCTATGCATGATTAGGACATTAGCACAAGTTTTTACGTTTGATGCTGACATGAGGTTGCAGGTCAATGCCTTCAAAATGAAATGAACTCAACATGCTTGAAATATTGCCTGGACTGCTACATTCTGTTGTACATAAAGATCTATAACTAACGGATGATGTTAAATGTTTACATATCCAAATCCTATAAATGAAATAATTTTCAATGATCTGTTACGCTAGAAACTTTATTGCAGTTTTTTTAGGAAAAAGAAATACAAGAATGGGCAAAGAATGAATGGAAAATGTTTTTGTTTCTTCTAATAATGAATTTCTTTGTCAGGTTCTGTGGCCTGACGGCACATTCTTTACGAGATTAAATACTCAAAGCCAAATGAATGATTGTCAACCTAATCAGACATCTTTTCAAACTACAAGCCGTCACACTAAAGCTTCTAAACCAGGGTCTTTTGAGGAACGGCTTGAGGCTGCTCGTAGAGCTAGTGATGTCAAGAAAATTATCTTGAGTAAGTAATTGCTATTTCTTACTCTTCCTCAATTTTTTTTTTAATATAATGTTTAATTTTTTATATTTTTTTATTTGTTTTATTATTTTATATAAAAATAATTTAAAATCCCCTCACTATTAATCCCCTCACTATCAATCCCCTCCATTCTATCTCCCAAAACAAACGGGCCCCCTGTTTGTTTGCAGAGAAAGGGTTGGGACTATTAGTCCCTTGGTATTGCTAATACCCTTGGAAGGGGGATTGGTAAGGAGGAGGTAGAGATGGTATTAGAAAATAGTGAGGGGATTAGAAATTTTTTTATTTTTTATATATTGGGAATTTTTTTTAAATATAATGTTTAATTTTTTATATTTTTTTATTTGTTTTATTATTTTATATAAAAATAATTTAACAATTCCTCATTATTAATCCCCTCACTATCAATCCCCTCACTATCAATCCCCTCACTATCAATCCCCTCACTATCAATCCCCTCACTATCAATCCCCTCACTATCAATCCCCTCACTATCAATCCCCTCACTATCAATCCCCTCACTATCAATCCCCTCACTATCAATCCCCTCACTATCAATCCCCTCACTATCAATCCCCTCACTATCAATCCCCTCACTATCAATCCCCTCACTATCAATCCCCTCACTATCAATCCCCTCACTATCAATCCCCTCACTATCAATCCCCTCACTATCAATCCCCTCACTATCAATCCCCTCACTATCAATCCCCTCACTATCAATCCCCTCACTATCAATCCCCTCACTATCAATCCCCTCACTATCAATCCCCTCACTATCAATCCCCTCACTATCAATCCCCTCACTATCAATCCCCTCACTATCAATCCCCTCACTATCAATCCCCTCACTATCAATCCCCTCACTATCAATCCCCTCACTATCAATCCCCTCACTATCAATCCCCTCACTATCAATCCCCTCACTATCAATCCCCTCACTATCAATCCCCTCACTATCAATCCCCTCACTATCAATCCCCTCACTATCAATCCCCTCACTATCAATCCCCTCACTATCAATCCCCTCACTATCAATCCCCTCACTATCAATCCCCTCACTATCAATCCCCTCACTATCAATCCCCTCACTATCAATCCCCTCACTATCAATCCCCTCACTATCAATCCCCTCACTATCAATCCCCTCACTATCAATCCCCTCACTATCAATCCCCTCACTATCAATCCCCTCACTATCAATCCCCTCACTATCAATCCCCTCACTATCAATCCCCTCACTATCAATCCCCTCACTATCAATCCCCTCACTATCAATCCCCTCACTATCAATCCCCTCACTATCAATCCCCTCACTATTAATCCCCTCACTATCAATCCCCTCCATTCTATCTCCCAAAACAAACGGGCCCTTATTTCTCTACTGACAATTGTAAAATGTAGATTAATTACAGTTTACCCCTCAATTATCCCTGAAAATCACCTTATCCCCTTAATTTTAAAATAATATATTTAGACCCATCAATTATAAAGTCGTATAAAGACCCATTTTTAAAGAGAATAAAATTGAACTCATTTTGATTATTAAAAAGTCTGAATGTTTGATTTGAAATTTCAGAGTGATAAAATAATGTTCAAAAATAATTAAAGAAAAAAAGTGTGATTTAACCCTAAAAATTAAAAGTAAAAAATTGACTGCATACCAAATATTGGTAGCTGGTCCATCGACCCCATCATTTCATTGAGAGATATTGTCGAAAGTTCTCTTTTACTTTTCTTTATTTGTTATTTTACTTTTCAATACGAAAACTCAAAAAAAAAACAAACAAACAAACAAATAAACAATCAAATAAATAAAATAAAATTTTAATTTTTAATTGTGTCAATTTAAATAATAATATCTTGATATGTTTTCAATTCAATCCATTAACTTATTTTCGTTAAGTAAAACTAACGAAAAATAATATTTTAATCATTAAACTCAAGAAAAATAATATTTTACAGATTTTATATATATACTTACATTAAGTATGATAACTAATTATTATTTTTTTTTATGTCAATTTTATTTAACAAAAATAAATAAAAAATTTATATTGAAAATAAATATAAAAAATTAAGATTTAAATTAACAAAATTAAAAATTCACTTTATTACAAAAATCAAACTCTAATTTTTTTTTAAAATATTTTTTTCAAAATATTTTAACTCACATGTATATTTATATTTTAGAAAATAATTTCTATGTTTACCTTGGCATTCTTTGAACAAGACCTTCCCCGAAATGATTAAAAGCTATAGTGACTTGCATGCCAGTGTCTTTGGTATATGAATCGCTGTGCCCCAGCAGCATGACCTTATCATGGTGCGTCATATAATTATTCGAAATCGTGATCGCAGTGGACCCCATAATCGCATCAATCAAACCATCAACACAGTTCGACAACGAACAATGATCAACCCAAATATGGGACCCACCAAATATCGACACTCCATCACCGTCTGATATAGTTCTCCACCCGTAATGTCCTGGGGAGTCCCGCACCATAGCATTCCCTCCTTGCTTACAATCATGAATGTTAATCCCATGTATGATGATGTTCGATACGTACTGTATGGTAATGCATGGACCACCGGCGATGTGTACGCTCGCTCCTCGACCGTCGATTGTTTTGAAGGAATTCATGATCAGCTCTTCTTTTAATTGGATGACCATGTCACGTGCAAAAATGATCCACAGTGGCTCCGATTGGATGACCCCGTACCGGAGGGTCCCGGGTTTTGGGGTGACTGGATCATCGTTGCCGGAGTCTGTGACCACGTAGATTTTGCCATTACGGCCACCAATGGCGTTTTTGCCAAAACCAATGGCGCAGTCTGCGAGACGCTGGCGATTCGATGCCCAGTTGGGGTCGCACCGCCAGCAATCGTCAATGGGGTTGCCAGTGCCGCATGACAGGTAACCCAAATTCCTTCTTGACTCATTGATGCTCCTACACACGAAAAAAAAAAAAAACGAAAAAAAAAAAAACATTATTGATTTTTTTTTTATAAAATATATAGTGACACATTGTTCCGTTAAATATATAGTAGTATGCAATGTATTAGAGTGACAGTATTACATTCGCACAATGTTTTTCTCTACAATCTTCTTAATGGAGTGATGAGCTAAAATACATGTAAAGAGAGTTTGAAAGAAATATTTAAATGTGGGTTAATTTTTTTAATTTTGCTTGCTACGTTATTAGGAAGATTGTAGGAGAAAGAAATTGTATAGATGAATTATTTTTATAAAAAAAATGCTTAACACTGTGTTTAGTTAAGAAATTTGAGAAGAAATTTGGAAACAGAAAGGAAACATATAGGTGAAATGTGAATAAAATATATCTCAATTTCATCTAGTTTCATACATTATTTTTATTTCTCTTTTTAAATCTCTTCACAAATCCTTCCACCAAACACAGCTCAAGTGTGTGATTTTTATTTTATTTTTGTATAAAAAAAATACTAAAATAAAATTAAACCACACATTAAAGTTTTATAAATATATACATTTTTTTTTCTTTGTGAATTGATGGTTCAAACGTCGGTGTCTCAAGTAACAGATTCTAACTACTTTGTACATTAATGGAGATATATGGGCAAGGGGTACTTTATTTTCATAAAGTAAGTACAAATAAATAAAATTATATATAATGATGTGACAAATTTAGTAATCTTTTAATTTAAAAATAAATTTATCAAGATATTTTTAATAACAAAATTGCCACTAACATGCTATCTTGATAAATAAATATGAAAGTTCATAATTCTTTTCAAAATTCATAAGTAAACAAATTTTTTCTTTTTAAATCATAATTTCAAAACTCACAAAACTCAAAATACAACTCTATTTTGAAATCATAATTTTAAAATTCTACCAAACGCTACCTAATGTTTTCCCTCCGTATGTGATCAATTGCATGAAAATTTCAAATACAAGAATCTCTAAAAATAACAACACATGTAACGAACATATGGAAGTATTTAGAGGAAAGAATTCGTGACCAATTTATATAAATTACAATTCAAAATAGTAGGAATGTGGTAATGCAGTTGGGAATGTAAAGAAACAGAGTACAATAGAATTTTAAAAACAGAGAATGTGTGCCATTGTATACATAGAACAACTACAATGTGGAGCCAGTAAACTAACCTGTGCACTTCTTGTACTACAAGCTCAGGGTCCTCAACAGGGGAGGAGGAAATGAGGGTTGAGGTTAGGAAGAGGAAGAAGAAGATGAGAGAGAGTAGTGAAGGAATTGCCATTTTTCTCTCTCTCTCTAAATGAAAAGGGATAGTAGTAGTGAGAGAATGTTTGAAAGAGGAGAGAGAGGTGGGGAGTGTGATGATATGAGAGAAGCAATGGGGATGGAGGTAGGGTTTTATAAAGAGGGGGGGTTTAAGGGGCCGGGTGTAATGGCGTGATTTAACTAAACATGTGGGGCCCTCTCCAAACTTCTACTCTAGGGAGCTACTGCTTCGTGATTACTGATATTGCGGGGGATGCCTTCTTCCTTTCCTGTGGTAGTTTGGTCGTTAAGCAATGCCCACTTTAATGGAAAAATATACCACTGCAATTATTATGTCATATTATGAATAAGGAATTACAATAGTATACACTTTTTTGTTTTTCTTTTCTTTTTTTAACCAAGAGTGAGAAGATTTTATAGTTGTGTTTATAGTCACAATAGTAATTGCTGTGAGTTCTGTGGAGTTTGTTTCGAGGCTATTTTGATGATCCAAACTGTTTATCTTATAAGGTTTGTGAAACATATCATCTATGTAAAAAATTAAATTAATCGGATATTTATAACCCCATGATCTAGTTCTAATAATTTTTAAAATCGTTATCAAAATTATAATAACTATTTATATTTTTACAAAAAAAAATGTGATCTTATTATGGGGTTACAAATATTTAATTAACTTAATTTTTTACATGAATAATCTACTCAATAAACCTTACAATATGAATAATTCAAATCATTAAAATAGAATCAGAACAAACTTCCGTAGAATTCAAAACAGCACCTCAGGTTCTTATTTAACGAGGCCTTAATAAGAATCGTTTGACATTGTCCCTCTGGTTTTATTGAATCATATGTCATTAGTTAGGAATAGCACGTAGTAATTGCACGATTAATGATAGCACAACAGTTTGACTCTCCATAACCTTTTAATGTATAGACTATATGGACCAGTAGATAGAGGCCATTTCTAAAATCGAAATTGGATGAAAAAATTTCCCATTAAAAAATAAAAAAAAGATTTTAAAATATAATCATACAATTAGAAGTAAATTAAAAATAAGAACAAAAATGCCCATGTCATGAATTAGAGAAAATTAATATTTACTTAATCATTAATGACGACCCTACTTATTTTTAATAGAAATTTTTCACGTATATTCGTTCATGCAAAGGCTCCCCTTCCTAAAAAGTTCAAAATCTCTAAACCTGTCAAAGAAATTTTGGTACATTAGAAGGAGAAGGAAGTGTTAAATGTGTAATCTCTTTTAAAACAAAAAAAAATAAATAAATAAAAGTTTTTCACTGAACCTTAAACAAAAGTAGTAACACGATTATTTTTTTATTTTTTTTAAGCAATTCCACTTTTGTTAAGAAGTCCCGTTTTGAAAATGCCCCAAACTCCAACACATAAGCATACTATAATTCCTTTCTGTTGGAAACTTTTTTTTTTAAGCCTACTTAGGCAAACACTCCGTCTAAATCTGATTATAAAAAATAAGTAAGTAAATAAATAAGGGTGATGATTGAGACCCCCTCCAATCACCACCCCCACCACCCCACACACACGTGGCGGGTGGTGATTGGAGGAGAAAGAAAAAAAAAGAAAAGAAAAAGAAAAAAGAACCAATCATGGGAAGAAGGGGTCAAGGGAGTGAGTAAAAAAGGGAGTCCAAGTCATTATTCAATAAATAAAAACCATTGTTAGACTAAAATTATTTTGCAAATTCTAATAATAAATTAAATTGTGTATATCGAGAACTTCATGCACTTAAATGTAAAACATGACCCGGTGTGAAATTTCCTTTAAATCTCAAATAATGTTAAGCTGACCATGCTCATGTATACCTAACCTTTCATACTAATGAATTCATTTTGTATCATCATCACAAAAAAGAAAATAATAAAAATAAAATGACAAACTTGTCCATATTGAAAGGCCACTATCTTGGACTCTTTTTTTTTTCTTTTTTTTTTTTTTTTTTATCACCAAGACTGGTTGTGCCGATTGACTAGGGTACTGTAGAACATGGTCTCTAGCTAAATCAAAGGAAGTCATAATCATGTGGTTGAAAAGAGTTATTATCTTTTCACATTTAATTGAAAGTTAAAGATGGGAATTTGTGGATCATTTAAAGAAAAATATGTTTTATGAATATCATTTAACATAAATCAACCCTTACAATTAGTAGTTTTGAGAATTTGATTTTATTTTTTGGTTAATTATTATAATATAATATTATAATAATGATTATATTAAATTGAATATTCAACTTGTTCTTACAAGTCGAACAACACATCAACCATAACATCCAGACACACTAAGAAGTTGAACTCAAAATTTTAACATGTAAGTGAAATGGTAGTACTAATACTGTCAATCGAAAGCCACTAAACCGTATGATGATCAACAATTTTGAGACATTTAAGAAAGTTTTTTTTTTTTTAATTGAAAAATAAAGTTGATTAAGACTGTTAAATGAATTAAGTTACTTGATCTCAACTCATGTTCAGCTCGTTATGTAAACAAAATATACTTGAATACATTTTGAAACCTATTAAGTTATCAAACCAAACTTTGAATAATCTGCTACTCAGTTCAATAAACATATATATATATATGCATTATAAACAAGTTATTCGAGTTTGACTTGTATGCAGAGCACGTTAAAAACTCGTTCGAGATTGGCACATTATATAATAAGCTAAACACATTTTAAAACTTGTTAAATTTTCAAGTTAAATTTAAATAACCATACTGTCCTAAGATGTTAGAACAATCTTCTGTGTAAAAAATAAAAATTGAAACAAAATAAATAAATTACTTACAGGAAGTTCTTGTACCGGAAAGTTAGAACAGAAAAATTACGATCAAGTCGAGTTTGTGAGACTCTCTCCTTAAGACAGATTTGCCGCCGCACAGGTGCTCACGGATTATCGGCATCTATCTCTCATGATACAATGATCACTCACACAGATTGTAATAGCACTACAAACAATCTGTTTTGGCGAACCAAAACCTGAGTTCTGAAACTCTCTTAAAACTCTAAAAACTAGTATGAAGAATAAATGTAGCACAAAAGAAAAATGGTAAAGGAAAAATGGAATGAATTGAATATGCTAGAGGATCTTATATTTATAGGCCAAGAGGTGTTTGTACGGAAGGGTAGAAAACCCTTCGAACAGGTCTAAAATCTGGAACCGTCGAAAAATGATGAGAGGCGACCGGAGAGGCATTGTTCCAGGAAACAAAAATTCAAATTTGGGATTTCAAATTTTTTCGCAAGAATTTGAAAAAATTCAAACGAATTTTATCTAAAAAATTAATGCTTAACCCACAACCCACACCATGCACCTGCGTCCGACCCAACCGGATAGAAGGGCGGCGACGGCGCGCGGATATGTGGTAGATTTGGGTCAAATCCACTTTGTCCATAACTCCCCTCCATACAAAACTTGGGGTGCCCCTTGGTGCCCATCCCAAGTATGTCAACCTAAAGCTCATATATTGTTTCTATATGAGACACCCAAAACAAGGTAACCCACATTTGACTATTCAACTTCCCATTTCATGAAAACAAAAATGACGTCAACTTCTCATTCACTCATAAACGGTTTTGACGATCCATCTTCACCGTGTGACTTGCCATACGGTAAGGAACGCGTCATCACTTAGACCCACCTCAAAAGACGTATGAGCTCCACTAAAATTCAGGCTCAAAGATAGCCCAAAATATGCCTATAAAATCACAATTTTCAATAATCCCCCACATAAATGGAATTTATGGAGAGAAAATGCAACAACATGATGTTTCTAAAGAGAGTACAGAAATCGGAGATATTCCGCAAAGGATAGGTAGTATTTGGGTTTGAACCTTCCCATGTGAGACACTATCAGATTTACTAGCTAATTAGTGAACATGATGTCTTGAACTATTCAGCCATCTGTATAAACCCAGACAATAGAACTCACATAGCATATTTCCAAACACAGTTTGGTTCTCACGATTATGTTCATTTTGGCCCTGAACAACCTGGTACTTCATGAGTGCTTTAGAGAATTGTAGCCCTTTACAAAACTTATAGAACCGGCCTAGTTCACACTTATATAGGTGATTCTTGTGAAAAGTATCCTATCATACTTCACCAGGTATTCCTAGATATAAGAATCATTAAAAGCATTGCTTATCCTAACACACTACAGACATCACTATTTCATCATAGAAATGGGTAGGAGTTCGACTCTCCAGTGATCCTTATGAGTTATACACAACTCGGTTGTCCCGTTGAACCTAGATCTTGGGATATCTAGTCAACTAGGTTGGGTTGCTATTGTGGTAACTCTTATTAAATAGGCTTAAGTCTCATTCCCTTTGATGAATTTTCAACTACCTCTCTTACTAACCCTTTGGTTAGTGGATCCGCTATGTTGTCTTTAGACTTCACATATCCAATGGAAATAATATCATTAGAGAGTAGTTGTCTCACAATGTTATGTCGACGACGAATGTGTCGTGACTTATTATTACATATATGACTTTGTGCTCTACCTATTTCCAATTGACTATCACAATGTATGCATATAGCAGACACAAGTTTCAGCCAAATTAGAATATCTTCAAGAAAGTGAGGAAGCCATTTTACTTCTTCCTCAACTTTATCTAACGCTATAAATTTTGATTCCATAGTAGACCTAGCAATGCAAGTCTGTTTCGAAGATTTCTAAGATATAGATACAGCCGCACCACAAAGAGTAAAGACATACCTATTTGTGGGAGCCAAAAAAAATACATATCAACTTATTGGGGTTAACCCAAATAAGGCCTACAATAGGTCTAGCCCAAACAAATATCACACCCTTCATCTATGTTAGGGGGGCATCCCGAAAGAGGTGAGAGGTCATCTCTCTCTACACTATACACCAACACTCATTATTTCTATACCTTCATTCTTTCACTCAAGTGACTAACTTCACCATCAGAGTGTCTCCGGCCGAGGTGGCGCTGATTATGCTCATCTTTACTGATCTACAGGGACAAAACTCGTCTTTTCGTTGGAACTTTACAATCCATGTGTAGATTTTTATGGTCTCACAATTAGCGCCGTCTGTGGGAATCGTCT